AATCACTGAAAAAAAAAATTAAACGCAAAAAGAGAAGTGCTGGTCACAGCCAAACCTTTTTGGGAAGAGCTGTGACTACCAGGAACGCCTCCATCTGTGTCAGTCCCAGGCGATATCTGAGTGTCAAGGACACGTGGTCACCGCAGGAACATATCCCATGGTCCCAAGGGGCTCTCCAGGTAGGACAGTCCAGAGACCTCAGGCCCCTTCCCTCCTGTCCTAGGTTCCATGGCTGCTGATTCCATCCATCAAGGTGCCCAGCCAGGTGCTCTGTCCACGGGTCCTCACAGAAGGGGCATTGAACAAATGGCTATCCGTGCTCAGAGCAAGAAGGGAAAAAGCCATGTCTGTCGGCAGAGGTGTGGAGGCAAAGGGACATCCTGTGACAGCGCCTGGCTTCCTGCACGCAAACCCCACAGGCACCTGATTGTGGTCACGTTGCCTGCTGCTGGCTGGCTGGCACAGGCCTTTCAGGGGAACAAGGGACTTGGCCATCGGAGGCCCGGCCAAGTCCCCGTGATGAGCATCCTCAGGGCCTGGTCAAGGTGGTGTACACAGGCTGGTCCCAGTTGCCACTGGGGCTGTGGGCCGGTGGCACAGAGAGCCCGTTGAGCAGCGGCGAGGCATAGGGCCGGCGGGAGGAGTGGAAGTAGGGGTACTGGTAGAGGCTGGGTGCGTAGCCGGCATAGGGGCTGTAGTAGTTGGAGGCCTGCAGGTCGGTGTAGTCACACTGCGCGCTTGCGAAGGAGCTGGCAGCTGTAGCGGGGGCAGCACTGGTGACGCTGGCCTGGGCGCTGTAGGAGCTGTAGTCGGAGCGACCTGGGGAGCCATGTGGCTGGTCACCATAGTGGCCTGGACTCAGCTGCTCCGTCTTGATGTGCGGCCGTGGGGGTCCAGCCTCAGTGGGTGACGCTGAGGCTGATGGAGCTCCCTTGTGAGCCCACACAGGGGACACCCCGACACTAGCCCCAGAGTGGGAGTAGGAAGTACCCCCATAGGAGCCAGCAGCAGCAGCCTGGCTGGGCTCTGCAGGCAGGGCCGAGTGGCCATTGAGGGGCAGGTACTGGTCGAACTCATGGACGTCAAAGGTGTCCATACTGCTGATAACCTCGCTGCTAAGCTCTGAGATGTCCACGTTGCTGAAGTCGATGTTCTGGCGGCCGCTGTCCACCAGGCGGCGCCCTTCTGGCTTCAGCTCCTGCTTGCCCCCGCCAGCAGGGTGGTGTAGGTCTGTCTTGGGAGTGGTGGGCGGGGTGGGAGGCCCGTGGGTCTGGCCTGAGGAGGAGAGCACAGTGTAGATGAATGCCCCTTCTGTGGGGCGAGGCGGGGCCAGAGGCTGGCACCAGCACCCGGGGAGCGGCGGCAGGTAGGAATCAACGAGTTTTTGTTTCTTTACACTTCCCAGAAATTCCTGCAGTCAGTTCTAGACCTCACTCCTCGGCAGGCCCAGGAGAGAAAATTCCGTTAAGCACTGTTCTACAGGAAGACCTAAGGCCCCCCCAAAGACCAAGATGGGGGAGGAAGATGGCTGGCCTGGCCCCACCAGAGCTAGCAATAATGGGCCACTAGCAGAATGCTGGGCCCTGTGCCCACAACCAAGGTGGATACATACAAGACCCGTTCTTCCCATCCATGCTGAGTTTGCTGACACTCAAGGGCTCTGGCCAGCTAGAACAAAGCTGCCTGGCTGCAGGGACCCCACTCCCTCAGCCCGATTTTAAAGCTGTGCTGCTGACCCCATGCAACCAGCTGCTCACACATAGCACGGAGCGTGTGGGTAGGTCGAGCTGACATATCTGCATGGAGCACTGGCCATGCAAAGCTGCTGGACCCTCAGCAATCCTGTGGCTTGGGCCCCCCAGTGTGTCAGAAACAGCTGCAACCAGGGGCTTTGGGGGCTTTCCCAGGGTACCCAGGAAGGTTGGCTCTCTGATAGGCGCCTGCCTACCCTGCGGTAAACCCCTCCCCGGGGCTCAGGCCCACTGCTGCTTTCTCCCAGGAAGTCAGACGCTCAGGGACCTGGAGCCCACCTGTGTGGTCACCATGGTGGTGTGTATCACCATGGAGGCCTGCATCAGCCTTGTACATGGTGCCACCAGGGTGGTGGCCCAGCTCCGCCCCTGAGTCAGAGTCGCTCTGGCCCGTCTTCATGCTCTTCCTCCGCCGTGGCTGGTACTTGTAGTCCGGGTGGTCCTTCTTGTGCTGGACCCGGAGCCGCTCAGCCTCCTCCACAAAGGGACGCTTCTCGCTTTCGGTCAGCAAGCTGCAGAGCACACAGCAGGGCTGGCCGCGGGGCCTGGTGCCGCCACGGTGCAGCCAGCCCGCACGCACACGACCGGGAAGTGGGCTGGGTGAGACATGGCCAGGACACAGGCTGGGGCACTGGACCAGGCCTCCCTCCACCTGGGAATCCAGCCATGCATTCACACCTCCCAGGCTCCAAGCAGGCAGCACTCCCCACTAGGAGCCTGGGGGGCCCTTTGGGTCAGGTCTGTGTGGTCAGAGGAATAAGACCCAAACTCTCCACCCTCCTCCTCTGATATCCCCCTTTCCAAGTCTGTTTTATCCCTCCCTTTGGGGCTTTCTAAGGATATGGGTAGGACCTAGCTGAGAAAAACACTATGAGCAAAAATCCAGGTGGCGTGGACTCAGCTGGGTTTGCTGTCCCTCCATGGCCAGCCTTCCAGAAGCAATGGCAAAGCCCAGCATCTGTGTTTAGAACACATCCCCAGGGCTAACTGCCTGTGGGGCAGGGTTCAGGGGTGCCAACTGGGAATCCTGTCCAATCCAGTCCAGAGTGCCTGACACTGTGCCCCAGATCCAAGGAGAAGCCAGGAACCACAGACAAAGCACTTGGTGATCAGGTGAGGAGCAAGAAACAGAAACCAGAACCCCAAACCCGAAGTCATCCATCTTAAGCCCAAGCAGAAGACATTTAGCAGGGTGGGCTGTCCCAAGCAGCAAGCCTTCCCTGCTGCCTCCCTGTCTTCTGCAGGCGCCTAGCTGGAACACACCAAAGAGTACACAAAGCCTTTCCTGCACTCTTCATCCACTCCTGCCTTCTTTGCTTTGGGATAGATAGCTAGGAAAAGGGAGAAGCGTGGACTACAGAAGCCAGCAGACCTTTCTGGCTCCCTCTCCATGGGAAATCTCAGGGTTTCAGCCCTTTCTCAGGAGGGAGCACCTCCGATACCAGCTGGCTGCCTGCCCCTGGGCATTGCAGGCCTCCTGATGGGGCTGGGCCACTCACGGGGCCTGTCACAGTCCAGGGCAGGGTGTCCTGGGAGTGGAGGATGCACTGGGAACCGCCACACCAGCCACTGCCTTCCACCCACCGACTTCCACCCACTTCCAGACCTGCACCTGATGACTGGTCTGGGCTAGCCAGAAGGTATTTTCCCCTTCGGACCCATCATGGAACCGTCAGGAGGAGGCACTGCCAGAGCCTGGAACAGACCACCAACTCCACCAGCCCCTCCACTCCCCCACGAAGTGGTTGTCCACTGCGCTACATCCCCGCTCCTGCCCGCCTTGCCTGATCCTGCACTCACCGCCACAGCTTGCCCAGCGTCTTGCTAAGTTCGGCATTGTGCAGGTGCGGGTACTGGTCCGCCAGCTTGCGGCGCGCCGCCTGCGCCCACACCATGAAGGCGTTCATGGGCCGCTTCACGTGCGGCTTGGCCTTCAGCGCTCCACCGTTGCCACCACGCACGGGCATGGGTACCAGGCTCCAGTCGTAGCCCTTGAGCACCTGCGACACCGCGTCGCGAATGCAGGCCGGGAAGCGCTCGTCCGCTGCCTCGGCTGCATCGCCCCGGCCGCCGCTCCCCGTGCCCGCCGCGCGGCCAAGGCCCTCGGAGCCCGCGGGAGACGGAGGCGCATCCGAGTCCGAGTCCTCCACGTGCGACATGGAGCTGGCGGTGCCGGACGGGCTGCAGGGCGGCTGGGCGCGGGACTCACTCATGTCCAGCATCGGGGCCGCGCGCGGACCGACGCTCGCTGTGTAAAGCGCTCGGGCGCCTCCCGGCTGCGCTGCGGCCGCGGCAGGACCCAAGATTGCTGCGCGGGGCCCGGCCTTCGTCCCCGTCGCCGCTCCCACTCTGGCTCCGCCGCGCCGCAGCTCAGTCCTGGCTCCGCGACCCGCAACAAGTTTCTTTAAGCGGAGCACGAGGCCCCGCCCCGCCCGGCCGCGGTTGGCCGGCGGCCCCCCCAGGGCGGAGCCTGACCGAACGCCCCGCCCGCAAGAAACCCGCGGCCCCCGCCCTCTAGGACGCACCACGTGGGCCCGCGCGTCCCGCAGCCGGCGACCTGCCCGCCTCTGCTCGGTTCCCCGGAGCCCAGAGGGGAGAGGGGCGCGGGCGGGGCTTTGCGGCGCTCGGTCCTGTGCAGCTCAGTGCGTCCCACGCCGCGAGAGGAAGTGGGGCGCTGGGACCTGGCCGTAGGCGCACGGTGGGTCTAGAGCCCGGACGCCCCGCCTGCACCTCGTGGCGCGGGAACAACTGCCGGTGCCGAAGCCTGGGTCCTCGGCTCTGGGCCACGCGACGGCGGGAGCC